GCGGCTCCCCGAAGGATACATATAGGCCAACTAGGCCCGTTATGGTACCGCCGGATCTCTTCCCTCCCGCTCCTCATCTGAACCAGTCAGAATCCCTCAAAAATCGGTTAAAATTACTAAGGCTTACATTCGGTAAGTGCGTAACGTGCCTGAAGGAGTAAGTCCCAATGAATCTCTGCTTGGAGTTCGTCAAAGCTGGACATGAGCATAGAAGATGGGTCACCGTTTCCTCCTCCCTTCGTCACAGCAACTCCTACAAAGATCGTTTGTGGGGCGGCCCATAGAGGCATGCCCAAGTTCTCCTTTTCAGGTGGAATCCCAGAGTACTTCCACACTTCGCAAGCTCGTCCGCCTTGCAGTTCCCCCCAACCCCACTGTGTCCGGGAACCTAGACCAAGTTTATTTCGAACTGCCCCGCCATCTCGTTAAGAGACGACCTGCAGTCCCGGATCGTGCTAGACGTGGAGACCTAAGAGCCCAGTTCCCTTATCGCGGCCTGGCAGTCAGTGAAAATACTGACGCCACCAGTCGATACGACATTGCAACCAAGCCAGCGAGTTTGGATCCGTCCATATAAAAATGGACTGATCCGTCGTCAGTAACTCCCTCGTTCAGCCAGGCACATCTAATGGCGGCAGATAGAAGAGAATCTCGAGAGTCTGAGTAGGGGTGGACCATAATACCCAACCAATACACACAATCGCCATTCTTTGAATCTTGCTTATCAGCCTGAGGTTCCCAGCTGTGTGGAGCGCTGGCCACCACACCAGAAGCCACCTCTTTCCCACGGCCTTCTTAGATGAGTAAAGCGCAATAGTTGCCTTTCTCACTCTCTCCATAACGTTGGACTTCCAGTTCAACTTTGAATCAAGAATTAGACCCAGGAATCTAGCTTCCCTGCTAAATGATAAGCGGGTTCCGTTGAGTGTTGTCGGAGTCAATGTTGATATCTTATATCTCCTACTGAAAATAACCAGATACGTCTTTTGTGCGACAGGCAAATCCAGGCATACCAGTAATTGATTAATTATGACGTTAAAGAGAAGAGGAGAAAGCACACCTCATTGCGGGGTGCCGCTGCCAACGGAGCGCTCAATGCGTGATTCCGCAAAGCCAGCCCTGATGGTTCTGCTTGACAGCATGTTGCTTATCAGAGCAATCATAGAGCCATGAATCAAGAGCCCCGACAGTGCCTGAGTGATAGTTCGCGACTCGACATTGTTGAATGCGCCTTCAATATCCAGGAAAGCAGCCATTGCATACTATCTGCAGTCCAGAGATTTTCAATGTAGTGTATCAAAGAGTAGAGGGTCGTTTCCGTTGACCTCCCCTTACGATACGCATGTTGTGCCGGAGATATAAGCCTTGCATTAAGGTTACTCCTTATGTATACGTCCATCAACTTTTCCAATATCTTTAATAGAAAAAACGTTAAACTGATAGGTCTCAGATCCTTTGGACAGATGTGAAAACTTCTCCCAGCCTTAGGAATGAAGACCACCCTTGCAGCATTCCACGTTTTTGGAATGTAGGTTAAGTCTATACAGCACTCATAGATGATCTTAAGCCAAGGAAGGATGACCTGCGCAGCGCATTGTAGTTCTACTGGCACTATGTCGTCAGGGCCAGCCGATTTAAATGGATCAAAGCCACGAATGGCCCAGCGTATTGCCATCAATTTTAGGGTAAATTTAACTAAAATTAAAGAAGGGACACCATATGATCATAGAGAGGATAGATATTGTTTTCAAATCAAATTGCTCATGTTGAAATATAAATAAATTAGGAAATTAGTTATTTTTTTAATTGATTAATGTGATTAAATGATTTTGGGTTATTTTGGATTCCAAGTATTCGGGGCTCTATAACAATATAATTAAAGATAAGTAAATATAAGTAATAATTTTTGATAAAGCGAATTAATAAAAATTATTTAATTTAATTTATTTTCAAAATAGCTTTATAGTTTCGAATTTCAGATTTACGAATTCCGAATTTTCGAATTTCGAAAAGTTATTGAATTTAAACAAACACTTACCGGATTGCTGTGCCAACCGATTTTTTAAGAATTTGAAAAATGGGTTCTTCGAAAACATTAAAATCAATTCCACTACAAAATATATATACATTTATTTTACCGGCATATATGCATGTACTTATGTGTATCGGTCAACAGCTAATTATTCATTCAACAAGAAACATCATTAGTAGCGGAAGTTCCTCTTGAAAATCTTTCTTTTAATAAAATTCTTGTGGATATTTTGTTGTTTTTCAGGTTTCTTTTATTAAACTCTCTATATAAAGGTTTTGAAATTTTAGCATCCATTTCGGGATTTATCCGCTTCTACTTTTTATTTTTTTCTTATTATTTCTGTTTTTTTTTAATTCAATAGATTCAAGTAATATTTTCTTCCTTTTATTTACTTTTCATCGCTTGAAATTCATGTAGAATATTTTTCTTATGTTTATGGTATGCACTTATATTATGTAAAATTTAGATTCTCTAATGAAATTCAATATATGAATAGATGGTATTAATTTACCTATGTATATTCTATATATATGCAAATGTGTATGTATAGTATATATTTTTTGATCATACGACTCATATATTACATCCTTTCTATAATAAATTTTGTGATTCCTTTTACGAAAATTTCTAGGCTCTCTCCAAAAAAAAAAATATCCAAAGATTTCTAAAATTAAAAATAGAAAAAAAGAAAACTAAAATCAAAGAAAAAATATCAGTTAAAAATTGAAAATATAAAATAAAAAAAAAATATAAACAAAATGGGCTTTTTGAGCTTCACAAATTGGTATGAACTTCTAAAAAGAATAAATATGTGCATTTACATATGTAAATATCTACCATACGAGTATAACATAGTTCTCATTTATAATAATGGCATATAGGGAAAGAAAAGAGATGTGAATTATGATGGTGAAGCTTTATATACATTCAAAATGGTAAGAATAATGGTTCCGCCAATATACAATATTGGTTTACAGTTCACCAATAAATGTACATGCATATGAATTTCTAAATTTCTATATATTTCCTAAATACGTTATACTTACATACATAAATGTAAATATGTGTGTGTTTATAATATTTTGTTATGATACTTGATTAGTATAATTTTCTTCTTCTACACATAATGGTTAAATATTCAGAATTTCCAATCTATTCAAAATGTACATAAAATCAAAAATATAAAAAATAATATACTCGTAATTTCTAGTATAACAGAAGAAAAAAAAATATTTATCAAATAAGGATCTCATACTCTTCTTATGTTATATATAGCTATGCTTATTTTATAATATAATAATAATACAAAGAGATTGTGTGCGAACGATGACGATGATCATAATAATGATGAAGACTGTTGATGATTATAATGATGAGCACGATGTATAAACTAAAAATGTTGATTGTTAAAGATTTCATATATATATATATATAATATATGCATGTATAAAAAAAATAAGGGAAAATTAGGTATGATAAATGTTTAAAATGCTCGTCATCCGCCCTCCATATTAGATCTTCACGCACATACCAATAACATATGCCCATTAATTAACTGGGTGTTTCCCGTCAAGGCCGCTGTTTAAATCCCTTTTATTAGTTAGTATGATATCGAAAAAGAGACTCATCCGGTTCCTAGGACTACAATCCCATCAACACCCAACCAACAGAAAAGCCCATCGGCAACCCCAAAACCTACACCCATACAATCCAACCCACCAGACCCCCTATCCAAACCAGCCAACCTCCCTGCAAAGCCCAAAAGCAGCGCAAGAGACACCCCGGACAGGTCTCCCAGGCCATCTTAAATATAAGCCCCCAAGACACGTTTTCTCTTCTACATTAAAAACCGACAGACACAGAAAATATATTCCACATGCTTCATCCCCTTCATATCCGTCAGCACCAGCGTGCTGAGATCAGCCCTACCATACCTCAACAGCATCCTCGTCCTCCTTTTGTCTCTGATAGGCCCCAATGTTTTGGTCACCCTACACGTGTGAGTATTGGCCCACAAGACCCCACTCCTCCTATTACACTCATCATCTATGATGTCAAGACATGCTCCTAGCGGCAGACGCACCGACCTATCCACAATGTTAACACGCCCGCCCGCTCAGCCCTTGCAGAACTATCTGCCACTTCATTACCTCATAGGATGTGACGGCCCCAATCGCCGCCCTACTATCCACAAAAATTGCCAACTCGAATCCCCTTAGCGGTTTAGCAGCAGCCAATTCCGCCGCCCTGAGCACAGCCAAAATCTCTGCCAGGAAAACGCCACAGTCATCAGACAGTCCATTGGATAGCTCTCTATATCCGTATAGATGGACAATCTCTCATGCATGCATAGCTCTTCCGCACTCCAATCCTCCCTTTGTGGAACCACAATCCCGTAATCAATTCTCCAGTCAGTATATGGCACCACACAGTCAGACCTAATGTCCATAGGCCGCATTCCATATTCTCCCAGAATCCTACTGTGTGTGTATACCTTGTTAGAGCATACCTATCGCTTGTAGTTTCAAGGCACTCCTCACAGCCACCGCTTTCACCTGCTCACTCACCTTCTCCAAGTCAAGGATAACCTCCAAACTCAAAGTAGGTGCACAACGCAATGTACCAGTCACCCAAACACACGCCATACGCTGCACCCTCTCCAACTTCCTCCTCTCCCTTTCCCATTTTTAGAGTTACACCATTATTATTACGTTTCATATAATAAAATCTAAAGTTGACGATTATAGCATGATGAATTTTATCTCTATTTACATGTTATATGGAGAAGGTTATCAGGCACGTTATTTTTCAATTGATGTATTCACAATACATGGACATACATATTATGTATGTGCCAACATTAAACAATTTTAGAATAAGTATTTACAAACACACACACGTTTATCAAATACTCTGTGTATTTATGCGCATATTTATAATAATGAAAATATTGGTAATGGTATAAGCGATGGTCATATATTATATGGGTGGTGCTGATGGTGGTGGTGCTTGTAACTACAGTAAATGGTTTATGATGATGGTTTTATAACCGGAAAAATTTTTAGATTCCATAATATTCTTTTCTAAGACCAAATTCTATATTTGATGTAAATAGAATTCATAATACAATCTAATATTTGTTTCGTCGTCATTTTGAAATAGAGAAAATAACCAAAAAAAAACACAAACAAAACAAAAAAGAAATTGAATATTGTAGAAATAATAGAAAAAATTAAAAAAAAAGAAGGAGTTTAGGAAAAAATAACAGAAGAGAACTTGGAATAAAATTTTACAAAAATAAAAAAAAACAAACAAGGAAAAAATATTAAAAAAACCAACAGAGAATTAAAGATTGAGGGGGGCTTGCGAATTGGGCAAGTTAGTTGGTTTTATTCTCTAGTAAATATAGAAGAAAAAAAAACGAAAACCAACGAAACAGAACGAAATTTTCTATTATAAATTTTTTAGTTTTTTTGTTTTTCTTTGCTATTTTAGACATTTGGAATTGTTTTTATTATTTTAAATTTTTCTCTTTTTTTTTTTAATTTCTAAAAGAAAGGTTATTAGAAAATTTTCTATTTCTAAATTCAATGAATAATTTTCCATTTCTATAAACTCAATATTTTCTATTCTCGTATAGTTTCGTTATATTTTTTTTTAAGTTTTCTTTCTGTAATAAAATATTTTGTAGGTGGCAGCAGGCGATATTTTGTATTTCGTTGAGGTTAAGTATATAGATAGTATTCGTCTCTTTTACGTACACACTCTATATGCATTCATATTATATGAGAATATGAGAAGAACTCAATATAAGAGATTCAAAAATAATTCATCCTTTATTGTAAAAGTAAACAATTTTTATTTTGTATATTGTATACAAACTTCAAAATCTAAATGTTATACAAAAAGAATTACTAAAAAATTCTAATTGTATATATTTGTAAATTATAAAGGATGTTTTGTACGAATATTCTTATTTTTGGACAATATATATTCTTGTACATACGTTTGAACACATTGTACATATTATGTATATTATAAACTTTAATATAAAATCATGATGATTATTTGTTAGTTTTAATTTTATTTAAACTTTTGTTAAAAACATAAAAATAAAATGCTTGAATTGTGTTTTTGTTCTAACTATTTATTGATATTGTAAATTTTAAAATAAATTATAAGCATGTATGAATATAAAATGAAATTTATGTTAGATTTCATTTTATAATACAAGACAAGTTGAATTGAACGAAAAGATTTTCTAAAGTAAAAGATTTCGAGTTCTTATGTATAGCAAAATAATTTTAATAATCTGTAAATAAACTGGGACTACCGCTATTTTCCCATATTTACCTTCCTATCACCATTATTCTACTGAATTGAAAGTTTGGGAATTTATTTCTGAAATTGCTTTAAAAAAAAATTCGATTTAGTACATCCGCGTGGCATACTAACAAAACGTTTGGCTTAAAAGACTTGGAAAACGCCCACAGTTTTGGTAAATCGCTTACAGCCGAATACTATTTCATAAATCGGCCGGCTTAAATATAGAAATAAAAATATTTAAGATTTAAAAATAATTAAAATTTTTTTATTATTAAGAGTTTACAATATTATTGAATTGAATTGATTTGAAATCTATTTAAAAGAAAAAATTTATAATATGAAAAGAAAAGCAAATTGAAATTAAATTAACAATTTTATTTTGGCTAGCAAAGTATGAATTAGTAATTTACAATAATTGGTATGATTTCTCAACTATATCAGACAAGAACAAAATAGACATGCCAAAGAAAAAATGCAAATTTCAATTTCCGTTCTTATGTAGTTGGTTTACCTTATATTTCAGTGAAAAAATGTCTGCTATTATAAGCACATTAAAAATCTTACTTCCGAATTGTTATTGGCTTTTTTTGCAATATAAGTGATTAAGGACAATTTTCATGAATGAATTTCTATACTTTGATGGTTATCTATTCATTTCCTATATTGTACAACGCTATTGTCCATCCATTGTACTGAAAAGTATCAATAAATGAATTTGATAGTTTTTATTAAAGCTGTTTGAAGATGTTTTTATATGAAGCTTTCCTTAAAATGAACAATAAAGGTCGATTATAGAGCTTAGTAAACAAATATTCTAAAATATGTAGACTATTTTAAGCAAATTTAAGACAATAAAATATTTTTTCTTTGACTAAAAACAACCCTCATTCCAGACGTATTACAACTTTTTTAAAACACTTTATGATTTAGCATTCAATTCTTCATTGATACTTTGTACTTTATCTTTATATTGAAGTTTCTCATACCTATATAAAAATATCAATATGATTTATAAAATAAATTGTTTTGTGGTTTAGAATATTTGAAAAATTAACGCAATGTAGGCCATAAATAATTTAATATAAAAATCTATGCCATAATTATTAAATGTTAAAAAATTTTAGTGTAAAAACTATGTTCTGATAACTCCGTTCAGCTCTGGAAACTATCGATTCTAGACTGTGATGTAGTTGTTAACATATACAAATCGCTTTCCCAAAGAAAATTCTTTATCAATTTCTATTCTTGATAAAATAACCAGCATATATGTGCTTTATTGACTTAACAAAAGCTTTCGATAAAGTAAAACTTGGAGACGTTCTTGCTATAATGAATGAAAAAGGTGTCCACCCACAAATTATCAATATCATCCGTGACATGAACACAGAGAACAAAACAAAGATCAGAGCCAATAAAAAACTGACTCAAGAGGTGCGTGTGGCTAATGGCATTAGACAGGGCGATAGCTTAAGCCCCATTTTATTTAATCTAATCATGGATAAAATAATTGAAAAAACAAAAGAGGTCAATGCCGGATACACAATGGGTAACAGGAGAATCAATATATTGTGTTATGCTGATGACGCCACAGTTATAGCAGAGAACGAAGATGATGCTCAAAGATTACTGTTTAATTTTGCGAAAGCTGCAGAACAATATAACATGAAGATTTCCATTGAAAAAACGAAAAGCATGGTAATTGCCAAAAATCCAATTAGATGCAAACTAGTCATCAACAACAAATCCGTAGAGCAAGTTATGAAATTCAATTATCTCGGTGTCGAAACAACTGCATATAGAGACATAAAGGCCGAAATGAGTAAACAGACCAATAAAGCTTCATTAATCTCTGGCTGTTTACGACAGGTCGTATGGAGAAACAAATACATGTCACAGGAAGCAAAAGTCAAAATATATAAGACATGTGTACGACCAATTTCAACGTATGCTTTAGAATGTAGGGCAGACACTTCCATAACAAAACAAAAATTAAGAGCCACTGAAATGAAAACTTTACGGCAAATCTGTGGTAAAACTCTACGTGATCAGATCAGAAGCGCAGAAATCAGGAAAAGCTGTAAGATCCCCGACATTGTACGATGGGTACGAGGTAGAAGACGCGATTGGAGGGATCATGTCGAAAGAATGGATAACAATAGATTGGCAAAAATTGCATACACGGAAAAACCATACAGTCAACGACTTCCAGGTCGCCCTCCAAAACGATGGAAACAATGCTGGTCATCAATTTCACAAGAACAACCATAGTAAAACACACATCCGAACACACAAAATAAATACCACAATCAAATCACATATGTCAACTAGCAAGTACATCATCATATCCTAAACAACAACCATCATCATATCTTGGATAACAACAAATATAATAGTAAGACCGACAAATGTATCAAGAAACAGGGAAACCTATGACAAAGAAGAAGAAGAAGAAGAAGAAGAAGATAAAATAAAATAGAATTGTTAGATAACCATCATTGAGTTTTTCACCTACACTAACTGCGCAAATCGGATTCCCTTTTGTGAATATTCTGCCGGGATGGTTAGTAGACGGCCATACATATTGTGCGTGTCTGTCCTACTGTGGCCGTCGAAAGAGTCGGATGATTTGGGAGAGGCCTCCTCAGTGTTGGAAAACTCGCAACTATTTACTTGGGACTGGGATAGTAAAAGTAAGATATGGGGATACTACAATATACCAAGGCAAGGCTTCGGTGGTCGTAAGGAAGGTGTTCCTTTGCTCATTTCTCTCTTCAATAGTCTGCAATCTACAATCATTAAGCTTTCAATAAAATATGGGCAAAACTGCCGAAGCTGTACACGTCTAATTTGTACTGTAATACTGAATAACATTATTTTGTGTTTTATAAGATGGGATACTAAGTTAGACAATATTTTATAAAGACTCGGCAGGAGTCCACCAATACATCATAGGATTAATGAAAATAAAAGGAATATTTTCAGGGTTAAACAGAATTTCATTTTCATGTCTGTCATTTTCGAGATTTGATACTAAGAATTGTAGCTGTTACTTATTTTCGGTAAATTTCAAAATTCTGGTATAAGAATTTGAATTTTCTTCCTGAATTTCTCATTTCATCGAAATTTATGCTATTAATACTTTATAAAATAACATTGTAAATTATGTTCGATACTGTATTAAATGAAAATTTAATGAATCAAACTAATACCTATATAAACACTTTAAAATGCAATTTAAATCCATTCGAATAGAAAAAAATATTTTTACATATCCGCCTATAATATGCGCATGAATGTATGTTTTCAGAAAGATTTACACAATAATAATAATAATAATAATAATATAAATTCAGTTCATTTGATTCATTTTCATTATAACTTTTCAAATTATATTTTAAATAAAGATAGAAAAATATAATTTAAATCTAAATCAAATCATCAATGATTATAGCAGCAAAAATAATTGATGTTTTTTCCATATATACAAGTATTAAAGTATTATGTGTATGTATGTTATGTTCATAACTATATACAATAAATAGATTATTAAATTCCAGTTCATCAGCTCATCTTTGTTTGATATTTCGCTATTATATATGTTATTGTTGTTGCTGCAGTTGTTGTAACAGTCTTGCCTTTTGTTAGTACAATATAAATGTATATTGCTTTTGAATAGGTAATAAAATTTTTATATAAAAAAAATCAGGCTATATTTTATCGCATGTTTTGTGGATAATGTTCCATAAGTGTGCATTGATATTTCGATAATATCATTATTAATCTCAATGTTACTGTGTTTATAATTTTTGCAACAATTTGATTAAAAAATATAGGAATATATGACACTATGATGAATGTGAATAAAGTCAAATAATAATATTTATTAAGATTTTACACCCGTATAAAGAATTCTGGCAAAAAACCATTCTATACTTGTTGAAACGTTACAATTAAAGATTTGCCAATGCTTTACTTATCACAAGTTACAATTCAATTCTTCACCTATTCTGCAATTTATTGGCTTACTACTCCACGAGTACTTCCCGCTTACGAACTTTTTTGAGCTGTTCGGTTTTGAACTTAGTGCGATTGCCAGGTGCTGACTTTCCGACATCGCTATTTTTTTGGACTAGGTTTCCTAAGCACTCGAGAGCTGCTTTCCAATTCCCTTGGCGATATCTGCAATTTTAGACTTGGAACCGGGACACTTTAGCGCGGGGGGTTACAATAAACCGAGAATGGCTGCGGTGAATCTGTAATATATTCCTTCTACTAACAAGAAAATTATGGAATTTACTTTAAATGTCCAAATGACTCTATTCAATCGTACAGAAGTGTATTGTTTAACACTGTGGAATCAATAAAATTTATATGTATATGTAGACGTCAGAGCAACAAATAAACAAATCAGAGTGAATGATTCTAAACACCTTTGATATGTAATAATCTAGGGTATTTAGTATTCATGAATCTCATCGAGAATGCAATTATATAGTTAATCAATCTAATAAATGCATTTTCTTTATTCATATTTTTATAATTCCTCTCATATTTATTTGTTCTATTTTAATTTAAATCGGTTTTATTTATGAATTTCTTTTTAACATATTGGGTTTTTCCTTTTTTTGTTTGTATTTTTAATATCATGTATGTACAATATTTTTTGCTGTTTTATTATTTATTTTAATTAACAGAATTATGCAAAATGGTATGTAAAAGTAACAATTTTAAAGTGGTTAATAAAATTGATTTGTTTGAGGCAATTGACAGCAGTAATTTTTATTTTAAGAGTTCTTTTAGAAAAATGGGAAAAAAAAATTATTTTTTTAGTAGAGGGCCTATAAAGAAACCATTGTCTACAATATCAAAAGAATTTTCGATAGATTTTTAATTTTAACATGAAATTTTGTGAGAAAGCAATTGATATAGCATTTTTTAGGCTTTTGATTGGTTTACATTGAAAAAAAAGTAGTTCATTAATGAAAATTGAAGATACGTAAACTTGGATGACAATCTGTTATACCTATAAGTGATTTTTGAGTTCTTTAAGATCAAGCGAAAGTCTCATACTTTTGTGAGTTTCCATGATTTGCTGACTTCACTTATATGTGAATTGAGCGGCGGCTCCCTTCATTTGGACCGGAGCCATGCTTTGGGGTGCCCAAGACAACGGTCTTGCGTGCCCTCAGTGAATTGGAGGAGCGGGCCAGAGTTGAACACTGGGATAGCTGCCTGGGCCTGTCGCACTCTAAGAAGTTTGTGCGTCCCCTGGGACTGGGTGGCAGGGTTTGACCATGCTCAGCCGTCCAAATTTGAGGACATTAGTGAGGATTCTCACTGGACACTGCCTCTCGAGGGTCCACCTGAAAAGGATGAGCAGGGTGGCGGATGAGGTCTGCCGTTTATGCCTGGAGGAAGACGAAACCATGGAGCACTTACTGTGTGAGTGCGAGGCTAGACCCCGGGGAGGATCTCGCAGCTTAATGTGGCTGCCATACTGCGGTTTGTCAGGGGCCTAGGAATAGAGCTAATGTAGGAGGGATGGGAATCACAAGAGATCGTATGGGTCGACATGAGGGGGGCCTAAGGGCCTCGGTCCCTGTGGAGAAGAAAAAAAAAATGTAGTAACATCCATATAGATGTGCTTATAAAAAGACAAGAGTTCTTGAGAAATAGTCATTCGTACGGCTATTAGAAAGTTGACACGGTCAACTCAACTTGTTCTTATTTTAATTTAAGTATATGCCATAAATTTTATTTTGATTTACTTGTACTAATAAATTTTTTTCGTTTGAGTTTTTTTTAAGGTCGCTAACAAAATATAAATTCAAGTCGTTAAGCGTCGGTAAGTCATTCTTGAATGGATATTATAGTTCGAAGTGCACATATTTTAAAAACAACTTTTGCATTGTGCAGAATTTGTTCAATAAATAATAACTTTTTTCCATAATTTGGCACTATAATTAGAATTAGAGGAAAAACATTTCAATTTCGAATAGTTTAAAAAAAACAATAGAGGAAAATAATGTTTGTTATAACAGAACTTGCTTAAAGATTGCGCCTCCTGATAACTTTAAAAGTTAAAAAATAAAGAGGAGGTTTACATTTTCCTTATTCTTCTTTTGTATTTTGTTTTTCATGTTATTTTTTTAACTAATTAATGGATAAGAAAATTTTAATTCATGAGAATTTTTCTTTCAAAAAGTTTCTAATTTTTTATTTTTTCGGCCTCCTTAATGTTGCTCCATACAAAATTTGAATTTTTTTGTTCCCCATCATTGCAATATTTTAAGTTTTTATTAATGGAATGGAAATACCAAAGAAAATGATTTGCATTTTTTTTCTTCTTTTGTTTCAATATGAATAATTTTTTTATTAATATTTTGTTTTTTATTACTATTAGTTTTTTGCCCCCTGTTCTCGCACAAAACAGAACTAAAAAAAAATCCTGAAGACAGATAATCGATAATCGTGTATTATCTGCGATCTGGCTACTGTTGTACGCAATAATTATAATTGTGGGTATAATGCAAAATATGCATAGATATACATATATAATTATGATTTATAAGATTAGTATAAGATAGTATAGTTAAGTAAAAACAGTATAATATTAAAAATTTAAAAAAATATTATATTAAAATCATTAAAATTGAATTGCATATGGATTGGTCGATTGGCGGTATAGTGTAGCGTAGAAAATGGAAAGACATACGATGAATGTGGTGATTCTTAACCTTTCTGTTTAAATGTAGATTATTCGTTGCGTGTGGATTTTGTAAAAATAAAATTGGAGAAAATTATTAAATTTCATTTGTTTTTTCGTTCTTTCTGGTTTGATTATGATTCCGACATAAAATTAGAGATATTTGGAACTTGTTTTTAGCCGAACGATAGCTTACTAGTCATCAAATATGTAAATTCAAGCATATTTCGAATTTGAACTCAGCCATTGGTGCTTTTATTGTTTTCAAATGTTGACCTATTACTAAATTCGATTATTACAAGAATTTTAAATTATTACAAGAATTTATTTCGCATTCACAAAGCGAAACGAGCAATCACAAAAATTTCAGTCAACCACAAAATAATAAATTTAAATTTTAGAAAAATTATAAATTTAAATTTGTTCAACAGATTAGAGTAATGTGGCCGCCTATATATGTATTTCGAAAATCACCCTTTGTATCTTTTGTAACTTTTTAAATTATTGAAAATTAAATTCTAACACAAACGTTGAATATTCTACAACGTTGGAAAAAATTTTT